GGCGGGGGTGGGGGGAGCGGCGGCTTCGCCCCCCGGCGGGGGGGGCATGCGTGCGAGGCCTGGAGCTAAGCGTGCAAAACCCGGCGCCGAGCCAGTGTAAGCGAACGAAGGTGACCGCGGGGCCGCAGGCCGGTCTGCGCGGGTATTTTTACCGGCCCAGCCCAGCGAGAGGTTACGAGGCTGCAGCCCGCTTCGAAGTCGTTGCCGGTGCGGGTCCCGGTGCCCTCCGGTGCGTGGCAGCCCTCCGGCCGCGACCGCAGCTCCGCGAGCGCCGTGCTCTGCCGCCTCTCCCCGCTCTAGCAGGGCTGGCTCTGTGCGGTGCGAACCTGCCCCTTCGAAGAAGTCTTTTAGCTAAAACAAGAAAGCGTTCTGTAAACCTCCTAGCGTATTATTCTTGGCAAGCTGAGTGCCAGCAGCTAAACGATCTAGACGGTGCCACCTCAACGGGGAAGTCGAAGAGGTGATGTTACGTACTTGCTTGAGCGTAGTACGGTGGGATCCCTAAAATGACGTGAGCGTAAAATGTACAGTAGTCTGTTGAGGAGCTGACTTGGGAAAAGCCAAACAAATGGAAAAAACAACAAATCGTACAGGTCAGCCAGCAGAGCGCTTCACCAAAGTGTGGAAATACTAAATGACCAGCAAACTGTTCTTCTATAACAAAAGCTGGTTATTTTGCACACTTGCCTCTATCATCTAAGCTAAGACAGTCTTTAAGAAGTGATTAAGTTCCAAGTTGCACGTTATTAAATGCCAAGCTTCAAAACAAGCCAATGCCAGATTAAATCCCAGGCTTCTAGTACTGGCATAAATTTATGGGTTGTTACACGCAAAAAACCTGTAACACTGGTCCCTCACTTCATAAACAGCGATACAACTTTTCTTGCGCAACTAATGGGCAGCAGAAGCGATGTTTGTCTGTGCGTAGAGTGGTGGCTGTACTTGTGAACCTGTTGGTGTTCTTGTCAGGTAATCTCTACAGCAGGCACATCCAGATAGATGGAGAGATGTTGGCTATTCAAGTGCAAGATACTCCAGGAGTTCAGGTGAGCTAGGTGCAGCCATGCAGTTCACCAAAGCAGCTCTGAATCTGCATGTGCGTGAGTCCCTCTGCGTGCAGCGTCTTGTTACGGTCCGTTTCAAAGTTTGGTGTTCTGTGTGGGAAAGGTGGTAACTTGTATTATAACCAGTGAAGCCAGATGTGTTGCATGCCTGTAGTATGCTGGTAGTAAAAGAAAACAATTCACTGTTTTGGTGGATCATTTGTATGCTGGAGGCTCATTACTTTTGAGTGGCTGAATTACTTAAGTGTCTTGTTCCTATATATTGGGAACATTAGACACAAACCCAGAAACAATTCTGTGCAAATAAGGTACGTGTGAAAGAAAATGTCGTGACCGCTGCCCAACAAGCTTTGTAAATGTGTATGATAGAAAGTGAAGTCTGCTGTATTGTGCCTGTGCTCGTTAGTGTGTCAGATGTTAAAGTTTTGAATGTATAGACCTGAGTAATGCTGGATTGTTGCCTTTTGAGCTGGGCAACACTCCAGGTCTAAATGCTTCCAGCTCATATCTTTGCTTCCCCAGACTTACTGTCTAGCCAGTTAATTTCCCATTCTGTGGAACTACAAAGTCTTTCTCTGCATGCAGAACTACTCAGGTCAATTTTCCATTTGAGTATAGCAAACTCCAGTGTTAAATTCCAGCTTTTTGCAGCTGAAGCAACATATGCATTTATTCACCACGCTCAGATTAAGTTTGTACTTAAAATGTGAAATGCAAATATATGTCCGAAGCTGTAAAATGCTGTTTGGCTTTACAGACTCTTAAAGACAGGTTCCTTTAATATTTTATGACTTCAGCTATCTAATTTGAGACCATTCATTTTTCAGATCCGTGAACACAGTCTGCATTGTAATGAGCAGTTGAACAGATGCATTCGCTGGGCAGATGCCCTGGTGATTGTCTTCTCCATCACAGACTATAAGAGCTATGAACTACTCAGTCACCTTTACCATCATGTTCGACAGCTGCATCCAGGAAGCACAGTCCCTGTTGTCATTGTCGCAAACAAAGCTGATCTCTTGCATATCAAAGAGGTGGAGCCTCAGCATGGACTTCAGCTGGCCAACATGCTGGGCTGTACTTTCTACGAAGTATCTGTCAGTGAAAACTACAATGACATCTTCAATGCCTTCCATCTCCTCTGTAAAGAAGTCAGTAAACAGCAAATAACCAGCACCCCTGAGAGAAGGAGAACCTCTCTTATTCCACGACCAAAATCACCCAACATGCAGGACCTGAAGAGAAGGTTTAAGCAAGCCTTGTCTGCCAAAGTGAGGACTGTCACTTCTGTTTGATAGCAGAGCCATTGGTCTTCCCAACGTTTAGCCTGAGATTGAAACCTGAGGTGTTTAACACTGGCATATCTAGAGTTTGAGGCATTGTGAAAGAAGGATGGCTCGGGTAGCCTTTTGCATGGCTGTAGAAGTTTCTAAGCATTTGCTTAAAAAAGGAACAGTGGCAGACTGGAAAAGGGAAAAAAAAAACCCCAAACTCTTGAAATAGATTGAGGATGTGACTTGCAGAACAAGTATTTTCATTTGGAAAAGGAACTTTTCAGTAAATGAAACAAGCTTTCGGTTTGCCTTTTCTCCAGTTGGACAGATTTGGCTTTCATTTGTGCAGAAACAACCTGTTAGCTGTAACTCAACTTGTACTTGAGCAGGGAAACACCCTGAACTGCAGTTTACTGTTCAGAAGTAACCACTTGAGTCATGTTTTCACATGGGTGAAGGACAGCATGACATATCTGTTTAATTTTATTGCACAGTAGAAATGTTTATTTCCCATGTATTTCAAAACAAATAGCAAACATGAAGTTGCTCTGTAAAAATAAGTGTAAAATAAGTGGACACAACTGGGTATCAAGAGTGTAAACAATGGTCCTTTATTTTTTTACTAGCTATGTTATTGTTGACAATTTGACCAGACTCTTTGTATGCAAAACTATTGTCTGCAGGGTGTAAACATATCCAGTTACAAATAACTTGTGGGTTTTTTTACTGTCTGAAAAAAATACTGCCCAGACTAAATGATCCAGTATGGAGATTTTGAGGACCAAGTGTGGAGTTGGATTGATAGTCCATTAGAGCTGCCAGTGTAAGACACTTCTCTCCGTGTGCGAAAGGCACAGAAGGAATGTGGCTGTGATTCAGCTTGGTGTGAAGCACAGCTGGCTCTAGGCAATGAAGCTGGTGGCTTGTTCTGAGCTGAGCCAGTCCCTCTTCATCCTTAAACACATGGCAGATTTATATATATATATATAATTTTTTTTTTTACATTGAGCCAATGGAGTTCACAGGCTAAAGGCCTTATACACATGCACTTTAAAAAGCCAGTTGTGCTTTTGTTTAAACTGTAACTTATTTATTTTGTGTACAGTTACTCCTCATAGGGAGTGGACTTTTCATTCTTACTGCCTGGTTCAACATTAAATTTTTGAATTGCATGTTTTCTTGTGTGTTCTTCATGGGTGAGAAACAATGGGTAATAACCAGTGAAATGTTGAGGCAAAGTAATGGTTTTCTCAAGGTAGTTAACATACTTTGCAGAAACAGTCAGAAGGCCTTTCCTGCCTATACTGTTGCTTTATTAGCATAAACCCCAGGGGGGAGCTCGCACAACTGCTTTACAACTTCCTTTTAAGAAACTCTTTTAGGAGAGGAATTGAATAAGGCAGAGACCTTTCAAATTAAAATGGGATCCTTCATTTCCCCTTGTCAAAAAAAACCCTCCCAGTGAGAAAGGAATGGTGTGAAGTAGGTCAAAATGTGGAAGAACACTGAGTCTTCTATGTAAGTGGCTGCCACTGTCTTAAAAAAAAGAGAGAGAGCTTTATGTATTGAGCTATATCTCAATGAACTTAATCAAATTACAAATCTTCAACTATATTCATGTTTAAAGTAGCTTTACTGGGAAACTTCCTGAGAAAGATGTTTGTGCTGGGACTAGGGTGACTGTGGCACAGGCTCACCTGGTTAGCACACAGCTGTAAAACCTGGTGCAGGGAAACCCTGACAAGGTCCTGCTGATGATAATCTTTTTGACCATGAGCTACTATCATCATGTGACTTAGGACTAGACTTGTGAATAAAACTGAGCTTGCCCTTCCAGTCTGAGCTTATTACCAAATACTGCTCAGCTTATTAATATAGTAGTAAACCCATTTGCCAAGGGTGGCTTTGTGTTTTGTCCTTCTCTTACCTTTTGAGTATCGTTTAGTGTCACACACAGCGGGCTTAGACACTCCGTGCTAAGTGGTCCTGCACCTGCCCAAGCAAAATCTCTTGTTCTGTTCCTGCTCACATGCAACTAGCAACAGACCTCTCATTCCCCGGCCTCTTCCCTGAGCACAGGCTACGTGTAGCTACTACAGCTGCTTCCTACAAATAAGGAGCTAACTATTACACTAGGGCCACTAGGAAGATTCCACTCCAGTCTTGGCCTAAAAGAAGAGCAGGATTTTGTGACCATCTTCTTTCATCTCTTCAGCTACTGAGTATGAGATGGTGGCTGAGTCCCAGCATCCATTGCCACAGCAGTGGCCACACTGGCTGAAAAGATTCCTCCAAAGTGTGAGTTGGAAAACTAGTCTCTGCCTCAGTCAGAGCTACTTGATCCACAGGAAAAGCAAGAGCACCAGTGTCTGCTTAGACACCCCCCCCCTTCTCACTATCCTATACAGAATGTCCTTAGGTGGCCAAGTCAGAGACCTGAGAGCATCTGATGAAGGAGAGGCGAGGGAGAGAAGACCACAACTGCCAGCCTCCATCATCTCAGGAAAGCAGCAGCATCTCAAGAGGTGCGAGTGCCTGAACTTGCTGGCCGGCAATGGCCAATGGATGTAGGAGAGCCTTTCTGCTACTAGCAGGGTGTGGAAACCCCTCTAAGGACACCTCCGAAGACAGAAGGTCTAGGTTCTTAGGGGCAATCAAATAATGCAAAAGAAAAATGGGTCACAGGAATATGCAGTCCTGGCATGTGTAGCCCTGCGTACTAGGAAAGAAGGAGAAGATGTATGAGGTTCGGCATTGTAAGAGCATTGCTTTATTGATTATAGAATTTACAAAACATCCATATTCTAAGATTAAACAGTACAGAAGGACAGAGAAGAAACCAAGAGACTGGCTATTTGCTTTACAGTTGCTCTGTTCAAACTGTTTCTTGAGCTTTTAAAATTGCAATCTCATAATACTTCTCATTTTTTATAGCACAAAGTTCCATTCTATAGTCATTCTTATAAACCTCTTTTCCATAGAGGCAACATTGTCCATGCTTTATAATGGGTCTGTTGTTTCCTTCTAGCCACTCAAAAGTGAATTTAAATCAAAATGCACCCTTCGCTGAAGACCATTGTAAACATTTAAGAGAACTTAAGCTAGCTAGTGAACAAAGGTTAAAAAGCTACTTCCCATTTAATCTATTCCTTTGGCATAATAAAGAATGCTATGATAGAGTGAATGTCACTTATAATTTCACATTCTCATCTCGGTTTAAGCTGTAGTCTTAGCATCCCTTGGATGAAGCAAGAGGATGCAGCTTTAGAGCTCCACCATTTTATGTTCCAGTTCGGAAGTCTTGGTGCTATATGCAATCACAATCTCTATTGGCTGCTGCTTTTTCATCACAGATTGTATCAAAGTTTTTTAAGGAAAATTTGATAGTGGGTCTTTCGTGATCATAAATTAAAAATAAAAGCTGTTCTCTAATCATGCTGTTCAGAAACCTAGCTTGAGAAAGAATCTGTCACTGTGGCCTCCTGAAAATGGGATCATGCTTTTTTTTTTTTTTTTTCTCTTTTTCTTTTTTAAATGCATGTGAGGGGAGGATTCTTCCAGGGTTATCATCAATTCATCACAGCCCATATGTCCTCCCGCGTAAACCTACAGAGAATTGTGCCATCAGAAACAGTCTCTTCTCCTGGGACTGTAGGTGGAGAAACTAGAGCAGGAAACGGGAAGCCAAAAGAGAAGCAGCCACGTAACCCAGCCCTTGAGTCTGGCTCTCTGCTTCTCTGCCTCTACCAGTCCCACTGGGAGAGCATCACCGGACTGGGAGCTGCTCTGCCAGCTAAATCAGGGCTGTGCTCCGTCACCTCTCTGGGATGAGGGACAAAGTAAGAGCAGAGGCGGTTAATGCTGTATAAGGCACACGTGTTTTGCAAGGTAACATGACAGAGAGGGTGGATTTTGCTAGCCTTTCACTCCCTCAGCAGCATTTCCCACCATAAGGAACCCCAGCGAAAACATCAGGGAAAAACATACTGCTTGGAGAGTGCAAATTCAGCATCACCTAGTCCTCAGGGGCTCCTTTTCTAGGAATTATGACAAGCAATCATCCTTGCCACGCAGAGCGGGGCTGGGGTGGTTCAGCATGGCACGGTGTTACCGTTAAGGAGGGGGGAGTTGTCGCTGGACAACTGGACCATTTTGAAGAGCTGCCTGTGAGCTGCACGTGTTCCCTTGCAGCCAGATACCCAGCTGCTTCGCTCCGTTTCAGCTGGAGCCATAACCGCAGCAGGGGACGTGCAACTTTTTGGAAGGCTATTGGGAAGAGCGACAGACCAGGGATTTGATGTTTCCAGCTGAGGGACTCACTCATCTTCTCCACAGATCCTGCCCTGTCAGATATCGGTGTCAGGCTGGAGACGGTCTGTGGCAAACAACAACTCAATAGCACTACGTGGTGTCAGGAGTGCGGAGGAGAGCACAATTACCTGAAAGAAGGGGGACAAGAAACAACAAGTCAAAATGAGGGGATTAAGACTGATCGCAGTACTAATGAGCCGTGGATACGAACTGTTTGCTTCACGCCGCACTAGACAGGCTGTGTGTTTCTGGTGTTTGCTGACAGGGCAGTACAACTTGCCCAGTGAAACTGTCTGCTCACTAATAACTGTAGTTAAATCACTTTAAGGAGCATAATGACTGGTAGCATTGTACTCTTAATGAATGTGTGCTTTGACTCATTTCTACCCACATCTTACCCGGTGATTTGTTGTGACTGCCATTGTGTTTACTGTGAGGCACCAGCTGATGAAGCAGGGGTTTCCTCTCCTATAGCACAGTTTTGAGTGACGGCTCTTTCCTCTCAGTTGAAGGTAAGGTGAGCACCACAGAAGTGCTGCCGGCCTGCTGTGGGGAGCCACAGACCCTGTTCAAAACCATCTCTTCAGACCAGGCACAGGCTGTTCTGCACATCAGGACCAAGGCTCAACCTCGAGCTCCCTTGGGATGCTAATGCTTTTGTTTGTTCAAATTTTAAATCCAAGACGGGACTGAGGACTGAAACGGTCGCTCACTACAACCATCATACACATGCTGCTCGATGCAGGTATCTGTTTTTCTTAAGTGAAAACCAGTATGCAGGTGCCTACCATGAAGGCTTCTCTGCAGGGCAAAGCTATCAGCAAGGAGCGAGGGCGTATGCTCTTGCTGTGTGGAGCTAACCCACGGTCGAAGCCGTGGGACGCTGCTCTTACAAAGCCCCAAGTTCAGCAGTGTCCATAGGGTCAGGCCTGCAGGCAGGGACGGGGGGGCAGATTTGTCTCATTAGCCCACTTGAAAATGAATTTGCTTCTTCAGTGCAAATCTGAGGAGAGGAAGCACGAGCATCAACAACAGAGTATGTCTGTGTGTCTGTTTCCTGCAGTAGCTATCAAACCACTTGTGCTCTTCATCACATGGCTTGAATGTGTGGTAGTGCTGCATTTCAACTTTTTTTGTTGTTTTTTCTTTCATCTTTTCACTTCAAATAATGAAAGGAATCTGGAGTTAAGTTACTACAGATCCCTTCTGTACCGATGATAGTCTCCCCCTCACTTCTCCCCTTCCCTTGTCCTCCCACACAATCTGTGGCAAACTGACACCGATTATCTCTTCTCCTTCCTATGGATGAAAAACTCCTTCATTTGCAGATGCCAAAGGCTGACACTGCCTTACTTATGTTACATGAGAATCAGACTATAGCACAGTATGTGCTCATTTTGTTATCACGCAGCTTAATTCTGAAAAACACGAGGGGACACGTTACCAAAGTTTTTTGGGTGTACAAGCCAAACATCAACAATAGCCACTGCCAGATAAAAGCAATTTCTTCTTGGAGTCCCACCACTGAACCCTAAGGGGATTCATGCAACTAATAGCAAGCCCAGAGAGAAAAGCGAGAGCTGCAATTTCAATGTCTGAGAAAGAATGTGGCAAAATACAGTGGGACTTCCCTCCTTTCCCCCCAATAGCTCTGAGGGCTCATTGCGGGGGATAAATGTGAATATTCCTTCATTTTTACAGAGAAGGGGGGAATTGCCCAGATAAGTCATGTCCATCTCTTCTCCAGGCAGGTCCCTTCAGGACAGTGTATCTCCTTTGCAGACCTTCTTCTTGTTCGGTACAGCATGCCTGGTTTTGATGCTTCACCTGAAGGGCTACCCCTCCCGATGGCAGCCGAGGAGCCAGGAGCTCCGGGCCCGACCCACTGCGCTGCAATGGGCAGTTCCCCCTCAGCAGAGGGCAGGGAAGGATGCAGGTAACATCTGATGGTGCATCTGGAGGGGTTTATCTGTCTGTATGCCTCAGCCACAACCACACAGATGGTTGTGCGTGTTAGGAGGGTGAAACATCCACTCACGCTCTTTCCCCTTTTTTTACTCTCCTGATTAAAGTGGAAAAAAAGGTAATTTCTTCCTTTGAAAGTAGGATAGTTCTCACTAGGTTAGGGGAGCTATTCACCGCCATCCAAAAACAAATGATGCGTAGGAAACGCTGTATTCCTTTGTGCTCCTCCATGAGAAATAAATTTGTCATTCATATTCAGATGCAGAGCAGTTCTGTGGATGGAAACATGTGTCTCCTACTCCACATTTAAATGTCATTTGCCTCAACTCCAAACAACTGTTGAAGTAATCAGTGCGTTCTGTCAGTTTTTCTGTTACTTTCCTCAATTCTTTGTTTTTGCACCCACACATCTCTCCATTTCTCCAAGAGCCAATAATTAGTATAAATGTCAGTGCTTTGTTTGACTGGAAGGAACTTGGGAGGCCAGTGTTCCCCTGATGCCCGAGCCTGATTGCCTGAACACCACAAAAAAGCTCTGTTAAATGCTGGCTCGAGTTAGACAAATGCCTGGCTTTTTGAAAAGAGAATAATCCCAAACAGGTGGCACATATTCCCAGCTATAGTGCAGAAATCCAGGTAAATCCAACAAACACATAAACTTTTTTTATAAGAGAGACTTACACAACTGCTTCCTTTCTTCTTTCTCTTCCTCCTCCCACCTCTCCCCCCTACTCCTTTCACCTCTAACACACCACATTTGGACAAAGGGCAAGATGCAGTAAAAGCTTAAAATTCTTTAGGAATCTGCCTCAGAGGGTGACCTGCCACTGGGGTTAAGCCAAAGCAAAGCAAGACCAGATCCCACGTCACTACTGTCAAGCCTCAAGTCCCTCTAGAAAGCCAGTCAAAAGTCTCCCTGCATAGTTCTCAACCAGTTCATGTGTTAACCCTCTGCTTATCTTTCAGGGTGTGTTAATACATTTCGGGTGTGGATTATACTTGTCCATCAGTGTGTCACAACTCAATCCCCCTTCAAGATGGGAAAGAATTTTATTTGCTTTTTTGAGGAGATTAGCAATAGGCTAATTGGGGAGAACTGTGTTATCAGATCAAAAAAAAAAATCACTAAAAATGGCAGTCTGTCTTACAAAATACTGCTTGAGACTGCCTTGCAAAGACAACTAAAACGTGGAAAACACATGTCAAACCCAGGGGCTGCTCAGCCTTTGGCTGGCTCCATTTTGCTAACGATTTCTCACTAATCAAAATTGCATTCCATAGGAATCGAAAACAAGATGTTTACAAGCCACCCTGGAAACTAGACTTATGTTTACAATGCAGCTGGTTGCACAGCACTTCTTTGCAGTTTTTAGATTACCCTGTAGTTCTGCACTACTCAGCAGATACCCGATTGCTCTTGTACACGCTCCTCCACACAGTTAACAATGATTTTTAACATCTCAGACACCACCACAGCCCATCCATCCTCCTCCTCTTCTCCCTCCCCACTCCATTCAGATGACAGCTGCTGTAGCCAAGTTCTGCTGCCAGAGAGTGGATGAGGCAAAGACCAGCTGCATGGACGCTATTGAAGCTTCACTGTGGGAGCCATCCTCCTTCCAGGAGTCCAACAGCACATCCAAGGGCTGCAGAGACTTGGGGCTTTCTCCAAATCACCTGCTTCAGGCTACATAAGGCATCTAGCAGTCAGGTATCTATCAGAGATACCTGGCCTGGACTGGAAACCAGTACAGCTGTATCAGGGCTAATTTATCTTGCTCCTCAGCAATGCCAATTGACTTGTTTCCAGGATCACCACTGGTATGTCACTAGATGGTACCCAGACCCTTGGCAGGCTCTTTCTGAGCATCCCTGCACTATGTCCTGTAGATGCAGTGCCAGGGAGCCTGAATGTTTCTGTTTATGAAGAATATGAAGAAACAAATCTTTTTGACATGATGAAAGCTCCTTCAGAATAACGCCAGTCTGTTCTGAAGTCTCTAACCTGAGTTTGAACTTCTATTGCTGACTCTAACATGTAAAAAACAGACCCTTGGTGCCTGAACACTTGCTGCCTACATATGTTTCACAGCAAAATCCTAACACCATTCCTGTCCATGTGGCTGTGGCTTTGTGTAGGCTTGGTACCAGTGCTATAGGGAACATTTTCTGATGAATTTTCTTAGTCTTTGTTCAGATAGGAACTGTACATTTAGAGCTGTTTTTACCTGGGTACCAGGTTTGCGTGTTGCTACCAGATCCTTCACCATTTTGACCTCGGAGACTGTCACTCCACCAACCATAAAGATGATCAGAAAAGGATGATCACCAGGGTGAGGGCGATTCACCTGTAAAATGAAGGAAAGCATTATTTGTAGTTGCTCAGTCCAGCTCCAAACCTACGGACTAGCAGTGATCGGCTCCCTGAGCTGCTGGAGGAAGACTAATGAGGAAGCTCATAAAGAAATATTCATGGAATGCTGGTTTCTGTAGTAGCTGAGAGGGAAATCAATGGGGATGATGCCCAGTTAAAACTAATGAACGGTTTCCAGGGAAATGGAGTCTTCATGGCTTCAACTGAAACCTGGGGGAGTTTCTCATGAGACCTAAGGGCTTCTCCCTCCATTCCTTTTTCATTACTTTCCTCTCCTTCCCAGAATGGGAGGAGAGTACTTGGGTGGATGCACAGTTTGGATACACGTATGCATGAGGCTTTAAGGAATGAGGGGTAAATTAGTACCCAGTAGAAGCAAGGAGTCCAGCCTAAACATGCTAGAATCCCTGCTGGAGGTCAGCAATGGAAAGAATTGTAAGTAATGTGTTTTCACCAGTCCAGTGAATAATCCTTTACAATTCATCCAATGAAAATAATTCAGGTCCATTATAGTATAAAATCAGTTTCTAGCTTGTTTCACTTCAGAGTTTTCAATACTTCTGTGACTGGGTTGTAACTAATATAGAGAAACTTTAGCTCAAACAAAATACTTGTTTCATTTTTCCCCAATTATCATTAAAATGGCACAAATATTCCACTTCAGTTAAGACTTTATAAACTTGCATTTTAATTTTAAACATGAAGGTAATGCTTTACATCAGTTTCCTCTTAACCACTTCTAGAAGTTTGATTACTTTGCTCTTTCCTAGCGAACTCTTTCTTTCGTGATAAAACACGGTCCCCAGATGACGCCTTGCTCCAGTCTTTGGGAGTGATGTCAGTGGAGCCCGTGCAATTGCTCTTGTCACACCACCTTTGAGTATGAAACACGCCAAATGTTTGGCTCTGAAAAGTGACAGTGAGAACAGTTTAATTTGCTCCTTTTTAGACTCTCCGCCCCCTCTTCTTCCACAAGCGTAGGTTTATGACAGCATTCACTCGACAGAATGAAAGTGGTCATCAACCCGTGTTTGGGCAGAGGGCAGTTCCCTTCCCTTCACCACCACGGCAGCTATCTTTGATCCCTGTGGCTCCAGCTCCTGAGGGTACAGCTCTTCTGCTCTTCCTTGTTGCGGCTGCCCTACATTTAGTCTTTGGGCAGTTTTTCATCCTGCAGCTCTGTCAGGCTTTCTGACTGGCAACTGTCAGAAGAGACTCTTCCCTTTGAAGGGAAGCCGTGCTCTCTCTCCAGGCTAGCTGGCCTTTGATTACACAGGGCTCCCTGTTCAGTGCTGCTCCCCAGGCAGGAGGCTCTTTGACTCCCCGGGAGTTTGAAGCCAGTACAAAAAGCCTTAGTTAGATGTATTAGTGAGCTGAGTATTTGTGTACTGGATGTTTATTCTCTTAATCGCCCCCACTTTGCTAGCCATCTTCATTGAACTGATGGCACAGATAGCATATATACTACCATGCAGCAGGGTGTCCTGCAATTCTGGTCCGGTATTGAGCAATTTTCCATTTACGCCAACAGATCAATTAAATGGGTACAGCAGAGCTTACAAAGACTTTCTTTATGCGCTTTCCCACATCAGGCTACTCGCTTCTCACTATCTGCATATAACATGGTGTCGACCTCGAATGAAAAAAAAGTCCATTCCTGTTACAAACACCATGAGGAGTTTAAGTGAGACCTAAATATTTACTTACAAAGCAGGTCAGATAGAGCTATTACTTGCTAAGATATTAGAGTTTTTCATGCCATAATTGCCGTAAGCAGTGACACAAGGTTAAAGAAATAACTGCTCGCAAAGATGGTGAAGATAAAAGCTGACAAAACGCTCCGCTATGGCACTTCAAGGTAATACAGGAATTACCGTTTTACTCCCTTTCATGGATCTTTGCTCTTCTTAACCCTGTCGCCAGAGCAAACAGTTCCACTCCATCTCACGAAGCTTCTGAATGACCCAAGATATATGCAAAGAGCTCGAACTTCAGAAGCTTGCTATTGAATAAAGCCACTCTTTCCTAATATCTTTCCTAGTGACAATAAACGCATCATAAACACGCACGCATAACTTCGGACACACTGAAAGGACACCCAATATAAGAGCGTTAATCGGAAAACACAAGCTTTCATGGCAATACTAAAGAGAAAATGTCTTGACAAATCATTTCCTTCAGTCAAAATAAACCTAGACCCAAACACATGGTGCCTATATAAAACTTATTATTTTTCAGAAGACTAAAGTTCAAACCACAAATTCCAGAAATGCATATTAAAAATACTATTAGGCATGCAAACTCTAAATTAAATTAAAATTGTAATGAAAAGGGTCTTGGAATCTCTAATTTTGTTATGCTATGCACAAGTGTTTTGAAGGAGGACAATACTTTGGGTACAAAATATTTGGCTGTATTAAGAATGCAAGTTTCTGCCAAGATTTTTTTGTTTGATAATACAACCACCCAAGGCTCTCTCTTTTGAAGGAACTGGCTGCATGTAGCTAAACACAGCTCATTTCTGTGATACAGAAGAAGAACTGAAGTGCACTGCAACAAAAGCAATGTGTATCTTCTGGGATCCTTCTAAAGTTCAGTTGTTCTGGGACATTTCTGAGGCCTCTGAATCCCATTTACTGTGAAATTTGCATTTTGCAAAAATCCCCAAGTGAAATTCACTTTCAGTTCAAAATGCCATGCATTAAAAAAATTGGGCAACAATTATCTCAGGCAATTAGAAACACTAACCAAGAAAAAACCAATCCCATTACATCAAGTGAAGGAGCCTGAAGGAAGAAGGAAGAATGGTCCCCTGCGCTAGCAGAGCATCCCAGCTGGACATCAGCCTTCTCTCCAGCTTCGAGCCCACCACTACTGCATTTCCTCAGGATGCTGATGGTTAGAGGGCTCTTTGCTGGCACATGTGTTTGTGTGGAGGAAAGGGAGAGGGGGAGATGGGAAAGCGGGGTGACAGTGGTCAGTGAAAATCTAAAACTGAAACAGGAAGGGGGCAGAGGACCTGTTTGTTCTCATGGCAGATCACGAAACACAGCCTTTTTCTCTGAGGAAAGTCAGCAAAAACAACTTCTACTGCCCCACGAGGACTACCTCTGCCAACCAGGACACCAGCGTCAATGCATCTGGTATTTCTGACCAACTAGAAACCTATTAATTTAGCTGAATAACTGGAAAAAGGAAAACACATCAATCACCAGAAACTAGACTGCCATGCAAGGCACTTGGTATCAATGATACCAAGCTCAGATCATCACAAACCACGTGTGTTCTAGAGCAGCAGTCAAAAGAGGAATCCTTGCAGCAGGGAGGCCTTTTCCTTTCACCTTCCCTAAGCTTCAAAACAAACACACCCACCAGAGAAGCAACTTCTGGATGAGAGGTATCTTTAAAAGTCTGTCCTGGATGAACATGTCTAAGTCCATTACTTACCAAAGCATGTTTATGTGAGTTGGCATTTATATTCAGGCATTGAGGAAGAAATAAAAATAAAAGGAAGTTCATGAAATAATTACAGTGCTGATGGTGCAGTAAGTGGAGAAGATCCTCTCATGTGAGAAATACAGGCTGGTCAGAAACTCATTCATGTAATAATTGAACACTGGCCAACAAACTAGGCTACAAACTAAAGGAGCAAGCACGGACACATTTGGGAGGTATGTGATCATGCCTATGAAATACTCATCCTACAAAAGGTTCACTTGCTCATCTGTTATATATTCCTTACAGTAGGATGTTTTTCTTACTAGCAGAGATGCAGGTGCTTACAGGTACATATTGCCATAATATACTTCATACTCTTACATAATACTATTCGATGGAGAACTCGGGATACGCAGTAAGACAGAGCTGAATGTACAGCATGCTAGCCACTCCACACTTCACCTCTGTAGACATTTAATGAACACTTAGCATAGGCTACTTTGTAAAGCAGAGTGAGGTCTTGTAGTGACTGTCTTAAAACATGCTATGAACATCCACAATGAAATTTTTGACTAGTAAGTTTCCTCCCTCCCCACTGCAAGTTGAACCTTACCAAGTTATAGAAAAGGCACTGAATATGGAGCCCCTCTGATGACCTTCCTCCCCTGTGAGACCTGACTGTTCATACTTACTTCCCTCCTGTCTCAAGGCTGCTTGGTGTCCTTAAAACACTTTGATGAGGTGCCTTGCGGAATGCCTTTTGGAAATCCAGGTAGGTTATATGAACTGGCACTCACTTACCAATTTGCTTGTTGGGTGTCTCTGAAGAGTTCTGAAAGCTACGTGAAGTAAGACTTTCCTTTAGCAAAGCCACATAGCCTCCTCCCAGACATATCACCCTTATTTAGGTGTCCAGTATCACCCTTATTTAGGTGTCCAGTCTGCTCCATTCCTCTTGTTTTGTTCAGCAGGTGCCACCCATTTGTACTGTACGTGCAATGTGGTGCCTCAAGGTATTCCCAGTCCCCCTGCAAGGATTTAACTCTCCTAATCACCCCTTAAGTTCTTCTGAACAATATCAACACAAATACGTAAAATCAGCTACTGCCATATGATGCTATGACCTCAGGTAAATCTTACAGATAAGCTTGGGAAGCCTGGTTTACCTTCATGAACATGCTGAATCCAGTTTTAAGGAGATCAGTGAGGCCTGATGACATGTGCTCAATATCAACAGGATCAGGTCGATCAGGATTACAGATCTCTTCCACTACCTGTTTCAGCAGTGGTTTGTAAGAAGCCTGCACAAAAAGAACAACACACTGTGAGTAAAGCTGTTTAGACTTGGTGCAACTGCTCTTCTAAATGTTTTACTTCCAGTAAAGGTAACAAAAAAATAATTATCCTAGAAAGAAAACCATTCAGAGAGTTAAAAAATTATCGAAGCAGCAGCAGTCTTTGTGACCTTGACCACAAATGGTGTGCACCATCAAACTGAAAAGACAGGAAGACGGGCACACATTTACTCTGCCCCATGTGTATTATATGAGTAAAGGGAGGCAAGGAAGGAAGGGGGCTTCCAGTTTCTCTGGGATCTTTTTGGAGGTAGTACAGAAAGGGATAGCAATACGGTTGACACGCTGTTGCCCGTCGTGCACCCAGAAGATCTCATTCCCTTTGTAATGATTTTACAAACACTTAAACGGGGATTTTTAGGAGGGGTTGCTTACTGACCAGTCGTGCCTTCCCACAGGTGTCAGCACGGAAGCCTGGACATCAGCAGGGCTGGGAAGAGGCCAGCCTGACTGTTTGTCCAGCATGGAAGAGCAGAGCTGAGGAGTCCCTGTTAGTCCTTCAGCTTCTATGGCCAGGGCACTCTACATAACACTTCCACTTGTGGAAAACCTTGAGAAAAATAGGCCAAACAACCCCACCGATATGCACATCAGAGCTTCAGAGAAGTTAGGGACCAGGAAAAGTGGAACATGTAAAGGTAAAAATAGTCAGCATCCTGGAAGATCTGCTTCCAAAGGATCCACCCTGCACCCTCTTCGGGGTCCACAAACCTGTGCTGAATATGAATTAGTAGCCTAGAAATTTCCACATTCCCTTACCAAGGTTTAAACCACTCTGCCATCCTGAAAAAGTTTCCAAGATAAAAATTTTAGGGACTTGTGGAAAGATGCTCTTTAATGAAAACTCGACCTTACTTGCTTTAGAGATGGAGTTTTGTTTTGCCGCTTTCAACTTTGTCCAAACTGCAACAGAACCACAATTATTTCAGGAAGTGCAACAGTCTTAGAAAATTAGCAGCTTTCAAATTAGCACATTTGTTTGCCTTTGGGATGCCCAGGTATACATCATCCCCTAGATTTCTTAAGGGAATCAAGTGTAACATCATTCATTCTGTAAAAATGACATCTACAAGAGACGTCATGCAAGATAAACATAAAAATGGATGGAAAATAAAAAGCAAGCTGCTTGGCTTGAAACTAAAATTTTCTGGAGTAATTAAAGAAATGTTTTTCATCCAACACTTTACAGTGAGAAACAAAACTTACAGTTTTTTAATACAACCCTGTCAACGAAGATTTATACAACTCATCTAGTTCTTCTCACAACACGTGCATAATTTTTAATTAAGCCAACGAAGCAAATTACAGCAGACATGAGCTGCAGGATCTTTTAGGATAACATGCCAAGATTTGTGTCAAATCTAGTCACGCAATAAACAACTGTTTGAAAATACACATGCAGGCATGAAGCCCTATGTATAAAAATCTGTTTAATATCTTCATAGATGAGGAACAGAAAGACATTAGGAATTAAATATTTTTGGAGTAGAGACCAAATCACAGTTAAACAGAGAGGCTTACTGCATGAAATTAAAGGAAAAATGTTATCTGACTTCAGAAAAAACTATGTACTTAAAAGATGTTAAAAATGTGCTATGATTTTTCATGGTTAAATTTTCAGCACCAAAAGTCAGTGCCCTTCAAAATGATCGAATTCAGCTACACAGATACTAAAAGGCAGATACTAAGATCACTTATGTTTTTTTGGCTATGATAGATTCAAATATTTTCAAAATCTTTTATGACTTGAAATTCACTTATTATATTTTTAGGGAGTTTTTACTCTATTTTTTATACATGCCCCAATAGCTGCATTGATTTCTAACTCATATAATGAAACTTTTATCAACTTTAAATTTTGCTGGGACACAAACTGTGTTTAAAACAGTTGTTAAAAAGTTTGATGGCTAAGGGACACGCCTCAGACAAGATTATAAGGAGAAAAGGAGAGAGAAAGAGAGAAAGAAAGAACAAGAAAAGGAGAGGGAGGGAGGAAAGGAGGGAGGGAGAGAGACATGGAGGAAGGGAAGAAGGAGGGAAAAACATACTTCAGATCAAGATGAAAGGAAAAGAACAGTAGTTACAATATCAGGCAAAATAATTATCTCCTCTCGCGTGGTTGCTACCCGAACTGGTTTGATAACCTGATGAAAACATTTATCATTTTATGTAAGACATATAAACTTCAATGCTACAAAAAGTCCTTCTAAGAGGCTATCCAATTCCTACTTACTTATCTACAGAAACCTTTTCTGAGTCTTAACAAGAAGAGTGGGCTTCCCAGGTCCTGACAGATAAAGTGGAAAAGCACCTATAGGCTAAACCCATTCCCATAGCATTGAGCTGGGCCAGGAATGCGTATGGCCATGGGAAGGGCACCACTTCTTTAGAGGAGCTAAACTGATCACACACAACCCATGTATTAACACCTGCCAGTCAAAAGAGAGGTCCATTTGTAGAGAGCTGTATGTATGATGGAAAAAAACATACTGCCTGCTTATTTCTGCTACCCTAAACCTCCTGAACTGCCCTCAGCAGAAGGTTGGTCCTATGCAAGCAATTAAATCCATTGCATAGCCAGATTAGGGGGCTGCAAGGTGTTAATACATCCCTTGCTATGTTCCAGCACTTAGCCCTAAGCAAACAACCTGGGTTACATCCAAAGAACATATTGATGCTAATTACACTTCCAGGAAACTTTTAGAGAGTATTTTCTTATCATCTGACTGATCCCCCACTGAACTGTATTAAACGTTTAACAATTTTCCCCGTTTCAGACACCAGACTGGTTGTAATGCTAGGAGACTTCAGTAACAGGTTTTCTCCACCTTAGTTTTCCAGCAACATTTTGCAACACTCCTGATTTCTGTTCTTACAAAGCAATGCTTAATTTGAACTACATCCCTTTGCTGGTCTACAGCATACTTATGAGTTTGGAAGGATTTTTTTCTGGCTCAAGGCTAGAATCAAGTTTTATGGTCTCTCTCTAAATCACTGTATGTGCTTTCCATTGTAAAACTCTATTTTTAACTGAAAAAGTTAAAACGCTTCAGGGGAGATGGAGAGAGAGAAAACTACTGTATATTAGTCCTGATGACCTATAGTAATATCATAGTTCATGTGTTCATATTTTAGAAACAAAAAATTTTTCATCTATTTACAAATGGGACTGCCTCTCACATTTATAGGGATGGGAGAGAAAATACACAGGAATATAGCTGCTGTATGGATGCGGGCATCCTGCTATGCTATGTCATGAGGGGGTCTTAGTCCCAAACTGTCTTGACCTAGCCCTGCCTTTGACCGGCATTTATGTCATATCACAGTGCCGCAGAGCAAACCCCAAATTTCTTCTTCAGACAATTCTTTGTTGACATTGACACGGATATGCCTGAGTTTGGATGAAGGACTTGAGGAAGTTCTTGATGATTAGGTCGATTATAAAATCTATACTTAAATATCTTCCCCATGGGTAGAACACATATAAGATTAGCACATCAACAAAATTAGTGCTGTAATTGTGACAGCATCCTAGAGAAATAACATACACAGGGAGAAGAAAGATCCACTTGCCTGGTGGGTGTTGCTGCCTGCATTATGTATGGAATTAAACTGTTTCATGTGCATTCGAGCTCTTGCAATATCCCTGAGGGACTGAAAGATATCATCCACTGCATCTGTGGCTTTCTGAGATGTCAGGTTCAGTGATGAGTCACAGCCTAAAGAAATAAAAAAACATGGATCTGAGTGAGTGAAAAACTTTCAAGTGTTTTGATAATAAGCAGTAGGAAAAGGATAACCAGGAGGAAATTTTAAATTAGTTTCATCATGTTATATTCTAGAAACTCAGGGGCTTGTCAGACAGCATGTCCTCAGCATGGCACGGGTCTCTGTAGCTGAGCAAGAAGGCATAAACCCTACACAGCAAGCAAAGTGAACAGCACCTCTCTAAACACATTCGTAACCTAAATCGTACAGCGATTTCATCGGGCCAGGGTATATTTTGCTCTCCACAGCAAACAGAAGATCCCATGCTAGCAGACCCCGAAGAAGAGCCCCAGGTGGAAAGGAGCCAGCAGGTTTGCTGGTCTCCTCAGGGTGACACAGCCATGAAGAGGGGAATTGCTCCACAGGCATCGTACACGGGACCCGGCTGGCAGCCTGCTGGCTCCAAATGCATTTCCTACCTTTGCAACAAGACAAATGGGAAGAGTCTGTGCTAAATACAGCAGAAATGATAGCTACACATTGGAAAGAGCTGTATTACTATAAAAAAGTCCTTATTCCTCAAAGTGGCACAGTTATTACTTTTAATGTATTTTTCCAAAGCACTTCTGCTAAGATATAATGCTTATCTTCCACTGAGGGCAAACTCCATTTACAGGACCATGTAAAAGGTCCCTCCAGGTGGCCAGGCAGTGCCTTGGCAAAGAGAAATTCTTAGCCTTGGCTCCATCCCCCTCATCACAGGGCCTATATTGCACAGAAGCATTGAAAAAATACTTTCTCAGCCGAGCTGCTGAGGAGAATTAGCCAAGAGATAACTGGGTCACCTGGTATTTGTATTGCTCTGTCAACACAGCTCTACACCTTTTGACATCTCTGCCTGCCTCTCTTCTCGCTTGACTCCTCATCCCTGTGGCAGAAGATCCATCACAAAATAACCCTTCTTGCCACATGCACACACAAACACACACACCTGCTTATCGGCAGTGTCTTCTCTGGGGGATGCTGCTGTAGTGGTTTGTGCATCCATCCCCCGGTCCCACAATCGATCCTGCGCTGGCAAACCTCTATGTCTGTGCAGAATCCTGCTGAGAGGATGGGGTCTCCCTGCAGGTCCCAGCACCCACCGGCACCCGCTTGCATCGTGCTGCACCAGCAGAGCCTGGCACTGAAAACAGGCATCCAAACTGTCGTGAAGGCACCTGGATTTTTGGGTGGGGGGACTCTGAACAAACTTTTCTCTACAACTGACAGAGGACAGAATCCTTATGCACTAAAGAAACAACAGAAAAGGCAGTACTTTCAAAATTTACAGGGAATTTGTAATAGCTAATCTGGATCACTCTTTCACATCTTTGCATTCTGTACAGCAGAATATATATAATATATACACATGCAAACACACTTATAGAGGTCTGAAACTATTCCTACAAGATGGTGATTAGACACTGAGCTTTCATTTGTCTGAATATTATTTGTTGAAAGACTCCAAGTCGGATCCTCAGATGGTGCAGCAGAACAGATAAAAAATGACTGTACTTCTGCAGGGCTACATCAAACCAAGCTGCTGAGGATTTATGCCATTACAACCCACAAAGCAACGAAGCGAACACAAACTGGCCCTCGGTGACTCCCATGTTGTAATTCTAAGGCAGACACTCATATATTTTTGGGCAGGCTCTTGATATTATTAAATTTTTTTTAACTGAGTGCAAAACAACTTACAGAAATATTTTTGTTGTTATGTATGTGCCAGATCTGCATGCTCTGATACTCTGATTGACCAAAGTTTACTTTTTCATTTGGCCAAGGAGCCTGTGTGTTGCCAGTGAAACAAACCCCACTCTGCAGCTCATTACCCCGCTCCACTTGTGCTCTTGAAATCAGAGAGATGGCTCCTGCAAGTGATCTTGTGCTGGTTTATGTGCAAGGGAACAGTGTCCAACCGCTGAAAAAAAGTGAAAGTGAACACCTCCTGGACAGATGAGGTTAATAAATAAAGTCTGAGGTAACAAATCCTGGCTTATATTTATCACTAGCACAGGCAAAATATTCAGAGATCTTGTATTGTCAGTGTGCTTTTACCCTGCCCATGGGAAAACAGGAATGAGAAAATGGGGCAGTCCCTGTTAGCTCCAAACTCAGAGGCTGTGCTTGTTTAATAGTTAACATTTATAAAGCACTTTGCAAATGAAAGTCAAAAGAGCCATATCTCATTATCATATTACTAGATTTTGTCCTCTCTGAGAGACAAGCTTTCTCTGTTTTAGCCACATTAGAGATAACTAATTATCTCTAGCGCCTAGCTAATATAAGTAGCGATATTTTCTTTGTCCTCTCTTCTTCAATCCTTTATCAGCAAAAGCCATTGCTTTTGGCCAAGCCACCTCTGTAATGTTTCCTTTTGCTAGCGAACTCAAGTCCCCCACGTTGAACAAGTTCAGGCAAGGTAAAAATCACATCAGGTTTGCTTTGCTGTGCACACTCTTTTTTTTTTTCCTTAATTGTTTATTTTCTTGCACCACTTGAAAGCCTTTTGTTTTGGCCCCACAGTTATTTTTCTCAGGAAAAGAAATATTTGTTTCCTTCTCCTGTTGGCATCCCTTCTCTTTCTCTCTCTTTATTTTAACAAGAGCCTTTTGACCAAGAAGTTTCAAATCAGCTTGTCAATTCCCACTTCTGGAACTGCAGGGCAGTTTCCAGTGGACACGGTCTGGCTTTGTGTCTGGAGGACCCCGAGATTCTTCTCACCTTGCCTGGCCCAGCGCATCCCACTTTGCTTTTTGTTACTGGGTCAATCTTCTCTTGAGCAATTTCTTGGCAAAGCGCAGCCTCTGTAACATCACTCACCGCTCGAACCTCATTGCCAGGGAGATGCTGTCTGGAGCTCAGACTTTCCTTTACAGCTTGTGCTGACACACTTATGGGCTGGAGGCCATGGAATTGTTCACCCTCACCATCTGTTTATCAGGCCACATTGCTTCATCACCGTCACCAGAAACAAAACGAGAGGCACGGGAGCCTCGGTGCGCCGGGCTGTGGGCCAGCAGATCCTCACCCTCTGTGTTCAACCGTGCCTCCCGGCAGACCGGAGCATATCTCAAGGAGCACTGGAGCAGGTGCTCAATGTGTGCTTCCAGTCTCCATGGCAAAGCGCGGTGCTGGACCCAGTCTGGGAGCCAGCGGGGCACTGGGAGTCAAAGCTCCGGTCCAGTGCCAGTTTAAGGCTGACCAGACGAGGGAAAAGGGGCATACTTTCAAAGGTTTCTCTAAAATGTGGCTTCCTTAGGACTTCTGATCAAGAAACGTCACATCTGGGGATGTCATGGCTCTCTTTTTCCAGCCTGACATCCACTTCTTTTTTTAAATGAAAATTAAAACAAAAGTTTTCTTTGCAATCCCTTATTGTTGAAATTAATAACAAAACCACAGGTTCTCTGAAGGCTGCTGCCTACCTGTCACACTGCAGTAAGTTTGAAGAGGGGAGCTGGGTTTCTCTCCAAGCTGGAGAACAACAGAAGCTTGTGTTGTACAAATGGCAGGCGGCTACAAATCACCTCCCGTTCACACCTTCCCTGTGAATGGGGCTGTGTGCGCATATGGAGAGCAGAACACAATCCCTCTTCTCTGCCCGCTTCATGCTACCAAGAAATCTGTTCCTTTTACAACAATGAAGAGGTGGAATACATTAGCTGCTGCACAGCTCATGTGCTAATTAAAACAACTCTTCCTGTTACTGTTTTTTCAGGGGAAGTTAAATGGCATTTGGAGAGCATGCTGAATGAATTCCCTTGAATCCCAAGCCCTGTTATACAGGGGAAAAGGCATTTAAATGAAATTTGGGGATTTCCTGTCCGACTTGAAGAAGCCCAGTTGTGGAAAAAAGAAAATCACTGTTAACCAGCATAGGACTAAAGATTTTAAAGCACGTATCCGAGATCTTGATGTTATCCCAAGAAGAACACAGCCCAGTTCTGTGGTAAGTGGTCCCCGACCTCACTGATATTGCTTCTGTTCTGCTTCCATCCACTTGCGCCAAATTTGAGGAGAGTGAGACTGTCCGGAGCTGCATTCAGTGCCTAACAGGATGAGGCTACCGCCCCTTATTTTTTACCTACTTTTGAACTTTTTCATCGGAGTGAGCACATCTCCTCTTAAGCTACACATCTGCATAACCATTAGAACCAGAACTAATCCATTTTCACAAGAAGCTTGAAAAGAGGAGAATGGAGATGCTCTTCTCCACAGTTTGGAGTGACCCAGAAACTAAACTGGACCAGTTTTTGCACTGATTTCTGAAATAGGAAGATGGTTTAAGACAAGGACACAGACATTGTGAACCCACGAGATCTATAATTATAAAGTGGCATGTGATTGATTATTCCCTCCCTGAATGCAACAAATGAGAATTTCAGACCTGTATCAGAAAACCTTTCACTGTGCTTTGTCTCTTTTGGTATGTGGTCCAGGCGTCATAAACAAACTTGTTCTTTCTTTAAACCAGTATGATAATTATTAACACTTTGTGAAGGTCTTTGATACTTCCAAGACATCACTGAAAGGCTACAATTCTTACGAAGTTAAAAATTTAGGAAAGCTGAAAGTTCAGCAGTTTACGCTGTTTTATTGGTACTAACTTAGGCTCTCTCTACCTTAGGCTCTCTCCATAGCCCATTTACAGAAAACCTGCCCATGTACAATATAAACCCTGCAAACCCTGGAATGGAAGTGGCAGAGTAGCCAAGCCGTTCTGGAAGCACACACTGAAGCATGGGCTAAACCAGAAAACCGGTATTTTGAAGAAGAGGAAGTCCAACATTATGCAAGCTATTTTCTAGATATGCAGAGTTAATTTGCTTGTCAGCAAAAGACTGAGGAAGAACAAAGATACAGGGTGCCTTGAGGGTCAGAACTCAAAATACAGCACTGTGATATTAAACTAATGAAAATCTTCTATTTTTATACTTTGGATGATAGCATAGCAATGAGGGCC